GGATAGAGAGATAATAAGGTTTTCAAAGAGTGAATTCACCAGATATATGAAAATCCATTCTTTCCTGCTTTTCTCCTAAACTTCAGGCTATTTCTTGTTTCCTCTGATGGCATCTCTCCATTTGTCCATGCTTAAAAGTTAAGCTTACCTAGGCTTCTATACTTGCCTGTTTTGTGTTTCACTACACACACTTCTTGGGTGATTATATTTATTTCTTTGGTTTCAACTACCTTCTATTCAGATAATGGCCAAACCTCAAGCTCTTAATACACGTAGCTAAATGGATCTCTTCACCTAGATATGATACTGATATCTCAGATTCAACATCTCTAATCATGAACAGATTATCTTCCCTTCTTCCCCTAGTTCTGTCTCTAAGCCTGAACATTCTACTGAGTTCCTCATATAAATAAATGAAATTGGCACCCACCACCATTTACCAAACTCCTTGCACAAAGTGCTGATTGTCATTTGTAACACCTCTCATTTCCTCACAGATCCTAGTCCCAAAGTTTTTATATAATCTCTTGTCTTTTATTCATCCTGAAGCCACTACCTTAGTTCAGGCCATTATCTCTCAACGAGATCACTGAAAATAGCCAACTACTTGGTCTGCCTACCCTTGTCCAGCCTACTCTCCACCGTGTAGTCTTAAAACATACATCTGATCATTTCATCCCCCTGTTAAAGATCATTTAATAGCTCTCTAATGTCTGTAGGATGAAGTAATTCTTTGGCCTGAGCCCTACCTAACTTTGAAGACTCATCTTTCTACCTCAGTTCTTAACACATCCCTGTCTAAATAGTCATATATTCTCTTTGCCAGTTATACTCAACTACTTGCAATTTGCCAAACATGTCATGTTTTCCTTCATCTCATATATCTTTACACATCTTACGACAACTATCTAAAACATTCTTCCCAGATCCAGCCCTTACTATTCCATCTCATCTTACTTACTCTGATTTGTCCTTTTTCTGACTGTGTGTTCTCTGAGATAAAAAAATAAAGCAGACAATTGAAGATTTGATAAAAATTTACTATAGAGGGTAACTTACAAACCAGAAGATGCATTCAGTGAAGGTTGATTTTCATTATACAGCTGCAGGTTTCACTTTTCTCTCTCCCTATGAGCTGGGACACCTCCACCTCTAAAGCTGCTCTTCTAACCTCCTTCGACCAGCTTTAACCTTTAAGAAACTCACTGAACAAACAGAACAAAACCCTGGGGTGAGGTCATGAATATTCAGGGGTAGAAGTCCAAAGGCTGGTAGCTTCCCTACTACTAAGGGCAAAGAAGCAAGTTATCTCATTTAGGGGGTTGCGAATGACTGCCCCAGGTAAGAATTCAACTCAGCCAAAACCATCAGTACTTAATAACTTTAAAATGCAGCAGAAGAGTACAGGAACAGGAGATGGCACTAGTGTGACTCATTCCTTCTTTCACATATCCTTCTAGACTCCTATAGGGAGCCTTCTCTCTGAGTTAGGTGTCTCCCTATAGCACTTTCTATATACCTCCATCAAATTACTTACCACAGCATATGTAAATGTCTGTTTACATCTTTATTTCATTTTTTTTTTGCATGTCCTTAAGATCTAGTATAATTCCCTGCTCAAGGTAGATGCTTAGGGATCAGGACATAGTGGTAATATAACTGAACCCACTTGGGAAAGTTTCTAGGTTCATGTTCTGGGACCTCCTTGAGTATTCCATGTGTGCTCATGATTCAAATCAGCTGAGATTGAGGGTAGATCATGACAATAAAGCCTTTATTGGGGGAGCCTCCCCTTTTTCTTTGCCTCTCGGTTGCAAGAAATAAATACAACTTTTTAAAAGGTAAATACTCCATAGAGATGAATGGTGATAGTATAAAAGCTTGATGAGACTAAAAGTCAAGGTTAATGACAACATACTTTAATTTTTAGCCATACCTTAATTTGTATCTCTAACAACAGGCATTTATCTGTAATGCATGTGACACTGATAAAGTTTAGTCATCACTGAACTGACCATTGCTAAAAATATATACACACAAATATATGCGATAATACTTACATACCCACTCATGACATATCTAATGTACACCATCAACTGTATTAGGTGCTGGTGATATAAAACAAAGTAATATTTGTGATTTAAGAGTTTAAAGTGTAGTGGAGGACAGAGGGAAGTGAAGAAGTAAGAGTGTGATAAATGCTATAATATTCTTATATTCTTATATAGTGTTGTAAGAACCCAGGCATAGTTGTGACACATACCCAGTGGGATTTAAGAAAAGAAGACTACCCTTAGCAGGCGGCATATAAAGTCAAGCCTTGAAAGACAGATGAAAATTAGCCAGGCTGAGTGGTACAGAAGAGCAACCCAAGCTGAGGGAATAACTTTTGCAAAACCCTGACAGAAAGTGAAAAGACTGATGACTACAACTGATGGTAATAGTGGCAAGAGATAAGGCTGAAGGTGTGAATAAGACCAGATCATAGAGGGTACTATAGGACATACAGAAAATACATGCTTTCTTCTATGCCAGATAAATCTAAACTGACCAAGACTCAATCATTTCAACCAAGGCAGTTTTGCTTTCATCTGTTTAAGTTGTCTGTATTTCCACATAAGATTTTTTTAAACTGAAAAATCGCTAATACAGGGAGCAAAGACACTAAAGCATGCCATGAGTGATAGATGGGCTAACAATATAGTAAATAGACTGGAGGGCTAGACTTTAGTCAGATGGTTGTGAGCTCACCCAGCTAAGAAATGATGAGGGGGTCTGAACTAGGGCAGTGACAGCGATATGGAGAGAAAGGAATAATGGTGAGAGCTATTAAAGTCAGAGGAGGTAAGTGAAATTATGTTTTCAAAGTACATAGCAACAGCACCTGGAATAATTCAATAAATATTAGCTATGATCGTCTTCATCATCATCATCTATAGAGTCTGAATAAATAAGGATAATAAGGAAAAGAGAAAAATCAGTGTAAGTTTCCAACTGCCTGAATTGACCAACTGGGTAGATGATGCTGCCATTCCAAAAGAAAAGAAGCAAGAAAATACTGTTGTTTTCTGGGGTTTGTATATTTTGAGGTAAGGACAGGGAGGACGAATTCAGTATGAACCATTCTAAATTCAAAGTGCCCATGACACATCTAGATGAAGATGTCAGACAGTAAGATATATGGAGTGAGGGCTCAGAACAGATTCAGATTAGGACATATCAATAATACAGGAGACAGCCATTACCCTTAAATAATGTGCCTGTTTGAGTCACCAAATATAAGCTTAAGGTCTGGAAGAATCAATACCTAACTGTATCTAACTCTTAAAAGCCACCGAGATTGATGATGTACAACAAAAGAAGAAAAAAGTTTTGTCACTTTGAAAAGCTATTTTAATTAAGCTCAAAGGTCTTAAGGCAACTATATTCTCAATATAGTTCTAACCAATTCACTATCACAGTAAGATCTAGCTTCTGATAGTCCTAATAGAACTTTATTTTTGGACTATTAGTAAACTCTATGCAATTTCTAAGAGTGTAGATTCTGGGAAGACTCCAGATTTTGGAATGAAAAACATGAAATCAATCCAAATCTAGAGTTAGACAAGTATTACATAAGTAAAGTTACAAAAATTACTTAACCTCTCTATGCCTCACATTCTCCATCTGTTTTATTAGGATAACACAAGTTACCTTACTTGACTGTAATGGGAATTCAGTTACATAACATGTGTAAAGAAGCTAATACATGACTAGCATATTGGGCAAGCTCAACCAATAATAACTTTTACTATTTTGTGAACTTTCAGAAATTTGTAGTAAATACTGTATTTTCAATTTTAGGTTAACTAAGGTAATCAGAAAGAAATTTGAATTTACATTTTTATTAAGCATTTTAAAGGACACTACTTGCCCAGTCCCTGGGTTCTCAAGGTAGCAGATGTTTTTGGCATGTGAATTGTGATCATTTTAAAGACTGAACTGATCATATAAATCAATATAAGCAGTTGTATATACAATAGTGGAAGAGAATTCCAAAGGCAGGACTTGCATGAAAACTGAATCCAATTTAGAAATTCTATCCAATAACTAAGGAGTTAGTATACTTTAATAATAAATTTATAAATGGTTTAATATAAATTAAATAATGTTACTTTTGAGATTCCTGTATATGTACAGTGGGATATTATATGGGAAGTTACTGTAAACTATTGCAATCCTAGTTACTCTTTGTATTCTGCCATTCAGGAAAACATCATGGTTAATGTCTAACAGAAATCAGACAATCCATTTCTCCTTTTTTTTTCTTTTTCTAGTGAATGAACAATTAAAGTGTCATATATATAATAGTCAAAACTATAGATATAGTTAGATATAGTTAGATATAGATAGATGGAAGATTAAGGGTTTGTTTGGGGGATGCAGAAATAAAGAGATTTAAATTATGCTGTATCTAAAGTTGAGTTTTCCAATACCTCCCCTTTTATCATCACATTTAAGGGGAAACCATAATTTCAGAATTTTTTAAGTGAAAATTTTGATGAATTTTAAGAAAACTACATATTAAAAAACATATTGACTGAATTTTATGAAAATCAAATATGAAGCCAAAGATATCATAGTATATAGCAAAAAAAAAAAAAGACAGGTAGGAAGTTTCCAAGTATTTTGGAAGATTATTTAGTTATTATTGTAAAATTATTTGTCATATAAATTTATCATATAATAAAATTACTCATGAGAAATAAATTATGATGCATCTGCTTTATTCTCAAAGGAAATGGATCCCTCTTTGATAGAAATAACAGTAAAACTTGTGTGTTATGTATTTTACATATTATTGGTAAAACAAAGTAATTCCAATCATTTTTGTAACTTGTTCATATACTACATATACATACACACACACACACACATACATATGTACAGACATATAATTAAACTGTAATCTTTTACAGAGATATTTAGGAAATTTCAAATGCTACCAATGATAAACTTACGAATCAACATGCAGAACCCTCTGGCCACTTCTCGAACATGCAGCTGCAATGATGGATTCAGGCAAACCTATAAAAACACACATCTTTATCACTTACAATGTAAAAAAATATATATTTTTTACACAAAATGTTCAACTCATGCCATTGCTGCATAGAATGAATAGTTTAACAAAAAAAGACCTATCCTTATATTCAAAATCGTAATATTTACATAAATTAAACTAGCACATGTTTCTTAAGCATATACTATTAATACCAAAAATTTTACTATGTAGAAGAGACAAATAAAATCATAATTACTTAAATTATTTTTATGTACCAAATTAGCATACTGTTAATATAGGACTTTGTTATTTTGGAACTGTGTTCACACACTAGCTCATCTCCACATCCCAAATGCACTAAGACAAAAGCACATGTATACACATCTTAGAGATAAAAAGAAATCTAGGGCACAAATATACTAACTTCTTTCTCAATGGTTTAAAAATAAGTTTTGTGAGGGCAGATGATGGCCTATCAGTAACTCAATGCTCTGCAAGGCTGATCCACAAGGCAAAGTACCTGGTTCTCATCCAGAGACCTCCCTGAATATGCCAGGTACAAACATGCCCATGACCTAAGGTTGGCTGAGGCAAGGAGAGGTCACACTATGAGTATCCTGTTGAGGGTGTCCCTCTCCTTGTCTCTCTTTCACTCGCAGAATAAATAAATAAACTTAAAAAATAGACATTTTTCTCATTTCCACATGGAACCTTTTTGAAGGCTGACAACATGATAAGGCACAAACAAGTCTTTACATATTCAAAGGAATAGAAACTATATCCAGCATTTTCTCCGACCATGAATTAAACTTGATATTAATTTCAAGAAAACATGTGAAAATATACAAACATATGAAAACTAAACAACCTACTCCTGAATGACTTCACAACTAATGAAGAAATTAAGTGTAAAGCCAAAAGAGTCATTGAAACCAATGATAATTATTACACTAGTTTTCATAACTTATAGGACACAGCAAAAGCTGTCATAAGAGGAAAGTTAACAGCTATTAGTGTACGTAAGCAAAACATGGAAACGTGGCAAAGGGACAACATAACATCAATCCTCAGGTAATTAGAAAAAAAATGGAAAAAAAATGCCAGGAGAAAATAAATAACAAAGATTCAAGCAGAAATAAATGAAATAGAAAATAAATGCACTATACAGATAATAAATGACACCAAAAGCTGGTTCTTTGAAAAGATAAGCAAAATTGACACACCATTAGTTAGACTAATTAAGAAGAGAGAAAGGAACTGGATAAATCAAATTTACAAAGAAACAGGCAACATTACAACAGATACAACAGAAATACAAAACATCATTAGAAAATACTATGAGAAACTCTATGCCAACAAACAAGAAAACCTGGATGAGATGGACAAATTCCTGGACACATATATTCTACCAAGACTGAATCTGTAAGACACAGAAAGCCAGAATAGACCTATAACAAGCAATGAAATTGAATCAGTAATAAATAATCTCTCAGTAAAGAAAAGCTCAGGTCCTAAAGCCTTCACTTCTGAATTGTACAAAACTTTTAAAGAAGAATTAACCACCATTCTATTCAAATTATTTCAAAAAATCGAAAAGGAAGAAACCCTCCCAAATTCACTTTATGAAGTCTCCATCACCCTCTTCTCCAAAACAGATAAGGACATGATAAAATAGGAAAACTATAGACCAGAATCTCTGATGAATATAGATGCAAAAATTCTCAAGATACTAGCAAATCGTATCTAGCAACATATAAAAAAGATTATACATCACGACCAGATAGACTTTATTCCAGGGATGCAAGGGTGGTTCAATATAGCAAAACCATAAATGTAATACACCTTATTAACAGAAAGAAAGATAAAAGCTATATGATCATATCAATTGATGCAGAAAAAGCATTTGATAAAATACAACATCCCTTGATGATTAAGATTCTCAGCAAAATCTGCAGGGAAGGGAGATTTCTCAACATAATGAAAGCCATTTATGAAAAACTCATAGGTAACATCATGTGGAATGGAGAAAAGCTGAAAGCTTTTATACTAAAACAAGATTGCCCATTTCTCCACTCTTTTCCAACATAGTACTTAAAATCCTAGCCAATGCAATCAGAAAAGGGAATAAAATTAAGTGGCATTCAAATTGGGAAAGAAAAGGTGATATTATCTCTCATTGTGGATGACAAGATTGTATAAATAGAAGACCCAAAGGTATCCATGAAAAAACTCCTGGAAGATAAATGAAATCAGTAAAGTGCAGTATACAAAACAAACATACAAAAATCTATAGCATTTCTATAGACAACACAGCAATCTGAGGTAATACTGAAGAAAGTAGTCCAATTTACCATGACTACAAAATGTATAAGATACCTAGGAATAAATCTATCCAACAAAGTCAAAGATCTCTACAATGGAAACTATGATAAACCTAAAAACAGACACAATAAACTTGAAGGACATCCCATGTTCCTGTGTTGGAAGAATTAACATAATCAAAATGATAATTCTAACCTAATTAGTCTACATATTTAATGCAATCCCAATCAAATTACTGAAGACATTCTTCACAGATCCAGAAAAACAATCACAGAACTTGTCTGAAATCATAAAAGACTCTAAATCACCAAAGCAATACTGCACAAGAAGAGTGGAGTAGGAGGCATCATACTCCCTAACCACAAAATATATTACAAAGCTGTGATAATCAAAACAGCATAGTCTTGGCACAGAAAGAGTCAGGTAGATCAATGAAATAGAATAGAGAACCCAGAAACAAACCTCAAAACATACAGCCAATTGATCTTTGACAAAGGGCACTAGTCAATATGGTGGGAAAAGGAAAACTTCTTTAACAGATGGTGCTGGAAAAACAGGGTATCCACCTGGACCCCTATCTCTCACTATTAAAAACAATCAACTCAAAATGGATCAAAGATCTAAATCTAAGACCTCAAACAATAAAACTACCGGTAGAAAACATGGGGGAATCTCTAAGAGACATTGGAGTAGGCAAAGACTTCTTAAATAAGACCCCAAAGCACAGGCAATAATAGCAAAAATAGACAGGTGGAATTACATCAGATTAAGAAATTTCTGCACAGAAACTGATACAGTAATTAGTGTGAATTGACAACCTCAGAATGAGAATATTTTTGTAAACTATGCTTTCCCAAGTATTTTCAAACACTTCATCTCACTTACTCCCCATCTTAATCCTGGGAGGTAAGCAGTATTTTATCCATGTGAGAAAATGAGTTCAGAAAGGTTAAAAAAACTTGCCACATATCAAGTAATTTGATATCTCCAATTCAAATTACCATGATAATTCATTATCTCCAACTTAGACAAATGTTGAGAAAAAGGATTTAAAGGTAGTAAAGCAGCATAATGAACAGAGTATGGTCTCAGTCAGACAGACCTAGGCTTGAATCTTCAGTTTTGTTTTTTAGCTAGTTGTCAGGCCTCAGACAAGCCACTTGACCTCTTTGAGCCTTTGTTTCTTCAACCACCCATGAGAATTATCACCATTTACCTCATAGCATTGCTCTGTTGTTAGCAAGAGTATTTATCTGGGAACACTGTCTACACTCTTATCCTTCAGAAAGATAGTTTAAAAGCACTATATTTTCATCTTAACAGTACCCCAACCATACACTTCTTTTTACCAGATGCCCACTCTATGGCAAACAATAAAATTCCTCTAAATAGCCCAAAATAGCTGCTACTTTGGGAAAGCAGATATACATGTGGTTATTTCCATGACTTTGATCAACATTGTTAAAATTCAAATTTGCTGACAAAGCAAAGCCAAGAATGGTTTTCAGTAATGAACATTATTTCAGTCCAAATTTCATAAAGCCAAAATGACCATTATTGATAATTTCCCTTAATACTTCCATCCAGACAGCCCACAAGTTTGTGAAACAGAAAGGCTGTTCCAATGTTAAATAGCAATGACTTATTATATTCATACTTAAAATGACTAAAATAACAAACAAATAATATAGTTGGCAATGTCTTCCTAGCCAGCATTGCATATTTCTTCCCACTCATTCAATAAACAGAGTTCCTTCCATACAGGAGACATGTAGTAGATTCTCCATAGATATTTGCTGAAGAAAAGAAATGAAGAGAGATAAAATGGGGAAAGGGAAAAGAAAGGGTTAGCATACAATGTGATACCTGGTAAGAAGAAAAAGATTAAGTCAATTGTTAGCATAACAGAGCTCAGACTATATAGAACAGTAATTTAAGGCCAGCTGTAGTGACGCAGTGGTAACACAACACTCCATGGTGCCACAGTCACATGGGGAAGTCTCAGGTTCCTATCCTGAGGTCTCTCTGTGTATGAGGGGCATGCATGTACCTGGGATCATGGAATAAAGATTCTTTCATGGGTGCCTGTCTCTCTCTGTGTCTTTCTTTATCAAGAAAGAAAGAAACTTTAAAAAATAAAGAGGTTAAAATAACAAGTGAATGTTAAACTATTATAGAAACACAATGTAAAGACACCTTCTCTGTAGAGGGGAGTCATGGAAAGCTCCAAAGAACAAGGGACACTTGCTGGGTCTTTTAGGATGTTACCACCCAAATTGAAGAGTTTTATAAAAGAAGGACAAAGGAAAGTGGGAATATTTTTGGCAAAGGGTAAATGAAGAGTGCTAAAAGGTGATGCTTAAAAAAAAGAGGGGATGAGGCCAAATTGTGACCTCTGAACTTTAAATAACAAAGACTCTTAGAAAGATTTTATCCAGAATAGCAAGGTCAAATTAGTGTTACAAAAACAAACAAAACTAGTCACAGCATGTAGGATATACTTGTACAGGACTGAAGACTTAAACTTTTAAATTTTTAACTGAGGAAAATTAACACATTTAAAACTTTGTCGGGACCAGCAGTTGGCATAATGGCTATGTCATGGGACTTCCATGTAGTAGACCGTGGTTCGAGTCCTGGACCCGGTGGCTTAAACTCACTCCGATCCCGAGAGGAGAATGATGGAGGAGAAGGGATTACG